ATTCCTGCAACACATTTTCCGACTCCACACTCTCCCACAGAAGATACTCTCCGACCGCGGCTCTCAATTTGTTTCTAAGTTTTGGGGGGAGCTCATGAAGCTGATGGGGGTGGAGCGGGGTTTAAGCAGCGCCTACCATCCCGAGACAGATGGACAAACGGAGCGTGTTAATCAAACACTTGAACAGTATCTCAGGTGTTTTACTAACTTTCAACAAGACGACTGGGAGGGTCTTCTCCCCTTGGCTGAATTTTGTTATAACAATGCCGGTCATTCATCGACTGGTGTGTCCCCTTTCATGGCGATCTATGGTTACGAGGCGCCGCCTCTCCCGGATCTTCCCCTCCTGGAGGGGGAGGTAGGTGACTGGTGCAAACACCTTAAAGAGGCCTGGCTTGTCTTGTGCAAAACCTTAGAGGAGGCTAAACATGCTTACAAAATTCAAGCGGATAAGAAACGTTCTGATGCCTGGAATGTCCAGCCGGGAGATTCTGTTTATGTCTCCACAAAAAACATTAAAGACCTACGACCTAGTCGTAAATTGGGGTGGACGTTTGTGGGACCTTTTAAGGTATCACGTATAATCAATGACATGGCTGTGGAACTGGTACTGCCTAAAAATCTGAGACATTTGCATTCCGTTTTCCATTTCAGCCTATTGCGCCGTGATCCTGGGCCAAACATCTGGCGACCGCGACAACCATGCCTCCCTCCACTGCTCCTGCAAGGCGAACTGCATCATGAAGTTGCTGATATTTTGGACTCTAAGCTGAGGCGAAATAAACTGTATTATTTGATTGAATGGGTGGATTTCGGTCCCCAACACAGGGAATGGGCAGCAAAGGAACATGTCTCCGGCCCCCGCCTTCTGAAATGTTTCCATCGGCGCTTCACTGATGGGTTGCTGGGAACCACTTGCTCAGACCTAGGAATTCTAACTGGCTGAGAGGTATTAAGGAGGTACAGCCCTTACAAAAAAACAAAAGTCATTCAACATCTTTTATTAATACCAAGTACAGTGAGAGTATAAATCGTGTAAATAGTGAAAATCAGTTTTCACCATTTTTAATGCAAAGGATTTCATCACAGAGACAGAAACACCACTCTGTATCAACATACAACAGCAACTAATGGCAGCTTTCAGCTGAATACCAGCTTGTGTGTGATGCTGGACTTTTAAAATTATTATTACTAGGAGCAGCTCTAAAATTTTCTTCTGTACCTCTCCCAACTGGGATCAGCTGGCCCTTATCTGGAAGTTATTAGCCAATAAGAAAGTTTCTCGCTCTATATGGCATAAAATCTCTTTCAGTCAAGGGAACAGAATGATTAGAACTCAGGTCACATTCCCCACTCCTCCACTTGCACCTGCTGATGTGACCTTGGGTCAGTCACAAGCTCTGGCACAGCTGTCCTTGAAAAAAAGCAGTTTGTGTCAGAATTCTCTCAGCCCCACCCACCTCACAGGGTGTCTGTTGTGGGGAGGGGAAGGGAAAGGAGTTTGTAAGCCACTCTGAGACACCTTTGGGTAGTGAAGGGCGGGGTATAAATCCAATCTCTTCTTCTTCTTCTTCTTCTTCTGCTAAGGAACCTGACACTGGGAAGCCCTTGAGATCCATGAAGGTACTCGAGGGAATTCATAAGTCCTTTGAAAGGACAGAGGGTTAGCCCATCTCATGCCCATCCAGATAACATGGGGGCAGGGAACTAACTCGAAAGAACAGAATTAGCTTCCCCTCCCTTCTTTCAAACAGAAGGAGCTTCAAAAGCTGCCGCCACCCCCTGTCACCTAGCTTTTAGATAACCTCAGAATACTACACAAAAATTCACTGATGGGTTGCTGGGAACCACTTGCTCAGACCTAGGAATTCTAACTGGCTGAGAGGTATTAAGGAGGTACAGCCCTTACAAAAAAACAAAAGTGATTCAACATCTTTTATTAATACCAAGTACAGTGAGATTATAAATCGTGTAAATAGTGAAAATCAGTTTTCACCATTTTTAATGCAAAGGATTTCATCAGAGACAGAAACACCACTCTGTATCAACATACAACAGCAAGTAATGGCAGCTTTCAGCTGAATACCAGCTTGTTTGTGATGCTGGACTTTTAAAATTATTATTACTAGGAGCAGCTCTAAAATTTTCTTCTGTACCTCTCCCAACTGGGATCAGCTGGCCCTTATCTGGAAGTTATTAGCCAATAAGAAAGTTTCTCGCTCTATATGGCATAAAATCTCTTTCAGTCAAGGGAACAGAATGATTAGAACTCAGGTCACGGTCTTTAGAGTTGAGGGCCCTACAGAATCTACTACCCTCCAAGACTTGATCTTCTAAGCTATACATGGACAATATGAACATTTTCTTAAACTTGCTTTTAAAGCATTGCTAAGGTGGTTTTCAGGAGCTGCGGTGGCTCAAGTGGTTAAGATGCTGAATTGCAGGCTGTGGAAGGTCGGTAGTTCAGCAGTTCGAGACCCAGGTTGCCGCATGACGGAGTGAGCTCCCGTCTCTAGTTCCAGCTCCTGCCAACCTAGCAGTTCGAAAGCAAGAAATTGCAAGTAGATAAATAGGTACCACTTCGGTGGGAAGGTAACAGCGTTCCGTGCGCCTTAGTGTTTAGTCATGCCGGCCACATGACCATGGAAATGTCTTTGGACAGCGCTGGCTCTTCGGCTTTGAAACGGAGATGAGCACCACAACCCTAGAGTCGGCTTCGACTGGCTTTCGAGCAAGGGAACCTTTACCTTTACCTTTTAAGGTGGTTCTCACCACATCATTCTAAGGAAGTGAGAAGACAGTGGCCTTCACGGGACATGCATGATACGTGCCCTTTAGAAAGGCAGGCATCAGAGTGGGATGAGGGGAAGGCTTGGAGGTTCCCCAGAACTTTTTTTTAGAAAAATGGGGGGTCTGTGGGTTGCTAAAGTTTGAGAATAATGCCTTATACAATATGGTTCTTAAAATAAAACCTGTATTCTACTATGAAATATTAGAGTTAATACCATATGTATAAACTCATTAGAGGTAAGATGCATAAACTCATTTTGAATAGAAGAATTCACATTTTTATATTATTTCATGTGGAGCCATTTCTACACATGATCTTGTGCATGTCAAGTAATTTTATCATAAGCTATTGCGCTACTGGCAGTTGCTATGATTGTCACTTTTACCATCATCTGCTTCTTGAAGTTAGTATCTTGAAAATTTCACACAATTGGGAAATATTTAGATTAATCTTAAAACGTAGAACTTTCATCATGTTTCTTATTTTACTATGGAAGATGTTAACTCTATGCAGCAAGCAAGCAACTAAACACATTGCAATACATGTAATACATACCTCTCCAAGAGCTTCGTAGCGTTTTTGGTTCCATCTATGCAAATCTTCGCGGTAGTTAAAAACAAATGGCTCTCCAGTTTTTATATGTCTTAACTGTCCCTCTAGAAGACAAACAATAATAGCAGGTATAAAATAAAGGTTTTTAGAAGCAGAAATAGCTAACAAAATAGGACGCAGTTTGCTTACAAAAAAAAAGCATTGTTTTCGATATACTATTTCAACTTATGAGTACAGACAAAATGGATCACATTATTACCACACATTTCCAGATCAGATTCACAACATGTATAGGAAAGCCCAGAGAAGATGATAAGCTTTAAGAAAAAAATTGAACATAACAACTGCCCCAAAATGAATTTTATATATAAACCTTGGCAATCCATAGAACACTGAATTCCCATTATGTCATCTTTGTGGAAGTCATAACTTTTCTTACCTTGTAGTTCTGTTTTTATGGCTGATGTACAGTAGCATATCTAGTTACTGATAAGCGAAACAGTAAAACAGAAACCTTACACAACAAAATGAATGGATAGCTCCAGGAAAATGTAAAATTAAGAGAGAGAATACTGGCACCAGTCATAGCTAGAAAATATTATGTCCAAAATGCAGTTAGCTTTAAAAAAACACACACACCATGGTATCTAAGAATATTCCAAATCCTGAAATATATGAATGCAAAATCAGGATTTCAATTAGTGGAAGTTGTCTTCAGATGAAAAATATAACTTTCTTTACCAAAGCAAAGATTTCATTTTGTACATGACCTCTTTGTGTCGGGTGGGGTGGGGAAGGAGATAACAGCATTTGATTGAAAAAGTCTTCCAGCTGCAAAATAAAAATGAGAACTTTATGCTATTTACTTATTAACATAAAAGTTATGTTAATACTCTACCTATCTCAGTTTCAGTATGCTCCACTTGCCCCAATTACTAACCCCCAGGGGATTGCTTCTTCCCAACTTCATATCTGATACCTCAGGTCCTAATAGCCCTTTCTTCATGGCATTATCACACTCTGTTTCTTCCAAAGTTTCTAATTTTTAAAATTCTATGCCAAGTTTTTACGCTCAATGCTAATACTGGTTAGCAGTAAAGTTGCCAAGGAAATCATACTATGTTACCTAAGAAGTACCCTGTATTTTCAAGTTCTCTTAAGTTTCGTGGAAGCCACACCTGCTCATTTTATTATTATTGCTTTGCGAAGGAGAATAAAAGGCATAGCTTTCCTCCAGACATAGAAGCATATGGAAATGCACTATAGTGCACATGTTAAAAAAATTCCAGCCAATCTCATGGTATTAGGATCAAGAACACATTTGTTACTGCTCTAACAATGCCACTTAGAATGACGGAACTCTCAACAATGTTTCAATACAATTCATCCCATCTTCTCATAGCAATCAAAAGTGCACTCTTTAATATGCAGCCTAGAAAGGTTGTACTGCTCTAAAAATAAACAGCTGAAGATTGTTGAGCCTTCTCCTTTCAAAGGGCATCACTTTCATGACACTTGGTTTCTAAGTAACAGCATATGAAAGCCATCAGGTTATTTAAAAGCAAAGTGTTGCATAAATGCCTATGTTTAAAGGAACCCCCCCCTCCAAAATGGAAAGTGTGAAAAGTATTAGATAATAACAGTTTTTTATACAGCTTAGAACTACTATTGCACTTGAAGAGAACAAACTTCGCAGTGTGTTCTCCTTTGCAGAGCAAATTTTTTAAGGGACAAAAAATGGCTTTACTCAAATACTGGCCATTAACATCTGGGTTGCAACTGTTACGACACTTCACTTTCATATATAGAAAAGTATTTCTAAGGAGGAGGCTACAACTATTTCAGATTTCTGTCGATCATTACAACAGTCTATACCTAAGGGTATGAAGCTACGTTCAACATGCTCTACAGAAGGCTGTCTGAAAACTGAGCAGAAGCTCCAGCTAGCACAGAACTCAGCTCCCAATGGGAGTGGGTCTCTAGGTGCACTCATAAATGCTCCATTTTTTCCCATTCTCCCTGTTGTTTTCTGCCCACAATGTAAATTACTGTGTTTTTTTAACTCATTAATTTATCATATTGCACTTACTACTATCTGCTTCGGAAGCCCCCAGTGTCCTCCATGTATCTGTTACATAGGCTACAGTGGCAGACATGGGTTTTAATTCCACAACCTAATAAATTTATTGAGTTCTTCCACTTCATCTGTCCCTCAAGGGACCAGAGCAGCACGTATGAACTGATGGGTTCAATCCCAGCCATTTCTAATTAATGATCTATTATCACAAGAGGAAAGGCATTCTCTCATACACTGGAGAGCTCCTGCCAGCCTGTATACAAGAACAGCAAATGTAGAAAAAACAGGGTTGCACTTACCTGTAACTGTTGTTCATCAAGTTGACTTCTGTGCAGGCACACACTGGGGACTGCACATGTGGAGGCCTGTTGATGGATAGAATTCTCTAGCTTCTTAGGAGTAGAGGGGCTTCCCCTCCCTTTCAGTGCGTATTGCTCTTTTCCCGCCAAAAAAGTGTGCTGAGAGGGAGAGACGGCATCTTCCCTCAGTTCGGCTGTGCTGCCTGAGCACTGCGATAGAAACCCAAAAAACAAAATATAAAGCTCTTCTAAAGAGCTCAGAGTGGGGCAGGAGGGAGGGGATATGTGCCTGCACAGAAAACAACTCGACAGTTACAGGTAAGCACAATGCTGTTTTCGTCTTCAGTCTTCTGTGCAGTCCCATATTGGGGAGAGTACCAAGCTACTCCCTGGTGGCAGGTGTAGAGCTCTCAGTTAAAGAACAAATGCAGAACCGTCTTCCCCACAGCGGCATCACATCTGACATCTGTGTCCACACTGTAGTGATGAATAAACATGTCGGCAAAGGCCCATGTTGCAACCTTACAGATGTCTTTCAGTGAGACTCCTACATGAAAAGCAGTGGACGAGGCTTGGGACCTGGTGGAGTGAGCTTGAAGAGACACAAGGCAAGGAGTACCTGCATGTTCATAACACAGCTTAATTGTTCAGACAACCCAATGGGAAAGTGTTTGGCATGATGCTGCCTGGCCTCTGAGAGGCCCAGCAAAACACATGAACAAGGAGTGGCATTTATGAAACTCACAGGTACAGTGTGAGTAAAACAATAAAGCCCTTTTAACCTCTAGGCTCTCCTGAGTCTTTTCAGGTGGAAATGTGGGATTAGGAAAAACACGGGTAATAATACAGATTGTGACACATGGAATTTGGAAACACCCTTGGGTAAGAACTCATAACTAGGACGCAAGACAACCTTATGCGGAAAAAATTGAATAAATGGTGGGTCATCCCTTAGGGCTTCCAACTCGCCTTCCCTCCTGGCAGAAGTAACTACCACTTGAAAGTACACCTTCAAGGGCAGTAACGATAAGGCACATCTACCCAATGGTTCAAAGGATGGTAGCATTAGTCTAGCTAAGACTAGGGAGAGTGACCACTGAGAGACAATGGGGGGGCTGGGTGGACACAGGTTAAGTAGGCGCCTTAAGGAACTGTTTTGAGGTGTCATGGGGGGGGGGGATGGAGACTCCCTCAACAAAATGATGAAAAGCCAAGATGGACACAAGATGGATTTTTACCAAGAATGGCGTCAGCCCTGATTTTTTAAGTAACAGTAAATACTCAAGAATGAGTGGTAAGGGGCATGATGTAGGGGGCTGATACCTGTTTTCCACCCAAGCAGCAAAACACTCCCATTTGACAGCATACAATGTGTGTGTAGAGGGTTTCCTAGAATGCAGCAAAACATCTAGCACCTCCAGAGAAAATCTTGAAGTGGAGAGTTCAGGAGCCTCTGAAGTTTGGCAACTTCCTGATGTCTGAGCAAACCCTGATGTAGGAGGTCTGGGGCAGACTGCAGTGGAATGAAATAACCTTTGAGAAGGAGTAGCAGTTCTGAAAATTACACCTGTCATGGCCAGAAAGGTGTTATTAGGATACAGTGAGTATGACTGAGTATGAATTCTGTTGAGCACCTTCGCAATCAAGGGAAGCGGAGAAAAGGAGTAGAACAGATTGCTGGTCCAGGGGATTTGGAGGCATTCCCCGATGACTCTGGGTCATGACACTCTCTGAAACAGAAGAGAGGTGCCTTGGCGTTCACTGAGGTCTATGGCTGGGACACCCACTTGCAGAAAATGGGAAGAATGTATATCTTTGTCAGAGACCACTTGTGATGAGGAAGAGTAAATCTGCTCAGAGCAACCACGGTGCAGTTGTGCACTCTGGCAATGTGAATGGCCTGAAGAGAGACGTTGGGTTGATGTGCTCAATTCCAAATGTTGTGGCCTCCCTGCAGAGAGACAACAACATTGTACCACCCTGCTTGTTGAGAATAAACATGGTGGTAGTGTTGTCTATCTGAACTTGGATGGTTTCATTGCATAGTAAATCTGTAAAATAAGTCAAAACATAGTGAATGGCCCTCAGTTCAAGGATGTAGATATGCATACTATATTTGGGGTCTGACCAAATACCCTGTACTGACACTTCCCCATAATGTACACCCCACCATAAAAGAGGTATCTGAGGCTACAGTATGGGTAGGGAGTGGAGATCCAAATGGGACTTCTATTAGCGTCTGAGTCTGAGTCATCCACCCACCAGAGGAGAAATCTAACAATGCATCTGGGGACAGATAGGTGGGTGGACTGAGACTGGGTATGGGGGTCAAAAACTGGCAGGAACCAATTTTGGAGCAGTCTTAGATGTAACTTCACAAATGGGATGACTACAGTAGTAGAGACCATAAAGCCCAGCAGTCTCTGAATGCACAAGGCTACTGGAATCTGTTAGATTGAAACTTAGCAACCAGCTCCTTAATCATAAGCACACATTCAGGAGGGGGAAGGCTCTCCCTGAGGACAAGTCGAGTAATGCCCCTATACATTGTGCTGAACAACAAGGTGTCAATTTTTACCTTTTCCAGTTTACTGCTAACCTAAGTGTGGTGACCATAGAAAAAGTAAGGTCTAAATGACTCTGGAGCACATCTACAGAAGGGGCTATAAGAAGACAGTTGTTCAAGTATGGGAAGACGGTACAGCCCTTGGAGCACAAAAAGGCAGTA